GTGGCCCGGCCGGCTCATCACCGGTCGCGGTAGCGCCGCAGCAGGAGGGTGCAACGTCAAACAAAGCCGATCATCCCCGCCCAGGCTGCTGAAATGCAATAGCGTTATGAGCCTGGTGTGGGTGGGAAGGAGTGCGGCAGATGCCTAGGTGATGCCAGTCGAAACCGGGGCCTCTCCAACCATATGATCACAACCGAGATGAGCCCTATGATTGCCCACATTGCTGTAATTTCGGATACGTGTGCGAGGTAGTACATCATGAAGTTCATGCCTGTACAATTGCCTTGGACTTGACTTGACTTGACTTGAGGATTGTCTTCCCTGCCGGCTGTTGTAATTTCCCGTTGGTTCCGGGTGCGCCCTGTTCTTAACGCACCATCTCTCCCGCTTGTGGGAGGGGAGCGGGCGTCGATCCCGGTCCGTTCAGGGCGGTCGCAACGCAGGCGGCTGTGGTCATACTCCATACCTCACACGAAGGCAAACGATGTTGGCCGTAGGAGGATGGCTGATAGGGAGGCGGGGCAGATTCCGAGCTGCCATGCGAGGACCCGGCGCCCGCTTATCTCTTTGACGTGCTGTCAGAGGGCTAGGCATGCATGGCGTGCAGCACAAGTGATGGCGGCGGATGAAGCACGCGGCTGCATGCAACGAGGTTCCGAGGATCCGACACCCCGGTGCGGGAACGCGCACGGATGTCCAGGCAGGAGGTCGGGCACACAGGCGAATCAGCGCGATTTTTAAACTCGCCCAGCTGAACTCTCCAGACACATGGGCTCGAAATTTTAAGCCGGCTCCCGCCATCGCCCCGACACGATCATAGTGCTCCCATATAACTCGACCCGACAAGCACATCCGCGCCACACGAACATCACGGCCAACCGGATCACCACGCCAGGGGCATAGAACGAACTCACTGGAAACCATGGCATCTACAGCAGTCGCGCAGAACGGCGCAGCCTCGGCGCAGGCCGGCCCGGTGCTGCCACCCAATGCATCGCGGCTTCCGCAGACGGCGCAGCTGGATGCGTTGCTCACCATCATTCGCGACACATCGACACCGCGATCGGACTTCATCTTCTACTCGGATCGCATCATTCGTCTGTTGGTAGAGGAGGGTCTCAACCACCTCCCCACAGTGCCCAAGAGTGTGATGACGCCGACGGGCTTCGAGTACTCGGGTGTGGAGTTCCAGGGCCGCATCTGCGGAGTGTCGATCCTGCGTGCAGGCGAGGCGATGGAGGCGGGTCTGCGAGAATGCTGCCGTAGCGTACGCATCGGCAAGATCCTCATCCAGCGCGACGAGGAGACGGCCAAGCCAAAGCTGTTCTACGCCAAGCTGCCCGAAGACATTGCGGACCGTTGGGTGCTGCTGCTCGACCCCATGCTCGCCACAGGCGGCAGTGCGATCAAGGCCATCGAGGTGCTCATCGAGAACGGCGTCAAGGCGGAACAAATCTTGTTCCTGAACCTCATCGCGAGTCCGGAAGGTCTCAACAACATGTATACACAGTTCCCCCAGGTCAAGGTCATCTCGGCTTGGGTCGACGAGAGGCTCGACGAGAAGAGCTACATCATCCCAGGCCTTGGCGATTACGGCGACCGCTACTACAGCGGGTAGATTGTTTGACCTTCCCCTTCCAGTCAATCAACGTCTCATCCCAGTAGCACTCAATCCATTGTCATCACAACATTGGAACGCGGATTGTGCATGGCTCTAATTGTGTGGGTATACTCGAGCCACAAGTGGCTGTGCAAGGCTCAGACGAACTTGACTCCCTCACCGTCGCCCGCTTCTGTACCTGCAAAGATCTGCGCCTTGCCCTGTGTGCTGAGATGCTTGAGCGCCGCTCGCAGCAAGGTGGTCGGCAACTCGTAAAAATCTGCACGAGATGAAGGTATTGAGTCGGTCAGCGTCCGTACTAGGCCTTGCTCCTCCAGCTTCGCACGACTTACCTTGTCCCTGTACGAGATCGCCATGCGAAAGCTCAAAGAGCGTCATGATGCTCTTGTTTTGGCCGGTAGCAAAGACCCAGTCGTAGATGGCATCACCCCACTGCGCCGGTGACTTCCAGTAGATGAGCGCTTTCGCGTTTGTGTTAGCCGCAGCTGAGCTTGCATTCTTCTTGCCAGATGCATCATCCCATGCAGCTTGCTTGTGATCTACAAGGTCCGAGAGGATCGTGCGTATCGCCTCGGGTGACAGGCTGCGCTGGATGGCGCGGTTGGCGAACAGGCTCTTGTGCGGATCTGCGGCCTCTCCGTGGCCTGTCGGCGCATCCGTTGTGGGCAGCGGCGCCAGTGTGAAGATGCGGTGGTAGCGGCAGAAGTCCAGGATAAGCGTACGCCACTGTGAGAGCTGCTGCGAGCGAGATACCGGATTGGGCTGCAGAGTGTAGAATGGCGGAAAGGCGTGGACAGGCGGAAAGCGGAATGCTCTCGATGCATCGGAACCTGCCGCGTCGTGCGGAGCACCGGACGAGCCGATTGCTGCCGGTCGCGCCATCGTAGCTGCCATTGCTCCGTGTCTGAATGGTGACGGTCGAAGAGTGTCCGAACTCTGATCACAGCGGGAGAGGCGATGAGGTTGATGAAGCTCGATGGAGGAAGCAGTGCGTGCAGGTGGAGGCGGCGCAGTGTGGTTCGGCTGGCTTGAGCGCCTCGGCGACTCTGCTTGCTGCTTCTTGGCTGTGAACGGCTAAGCTCGGATTTTCGGCTCGTCCGCTTCAACGCGCTGGGGCCTCACAAGACAAGGTCGGCTGATGAGCGCCCGTAGCTGCGCGTTTTGCTGCTCCCGCACCTCATGGCGCATCGCTCCTCCACAGCGGCATCGGTCCATCCGCCGAGTCTCTCACCCTCGGATGTCAGCATGAGTTCTAGGATTGGATCAACCTGATCAGCTCTCCAATCACGAGAAATACTCGCCATCGCTGGCAGCGGGAGCACTTGATTTTTCTTATTAATTTTTTTTTACCTGTGCTGTCAGGAAGTAAGGGTGCTCCAGCAGCGAATCACGGCCAACCTGCCGAAGCGAGCGGGCACCGTCCGCAGGCGGAGCAAGGCGCACGGCGCGCCTCGATGCGCTTTAACGGTCTCCCTCTCCCTCTCCCTCGCCTCTCCGCTTTTGAGCCGGCGCGGAAATTGCATTGGATTGCATTTGGGCTCAGGCACTTCCGCCCTCGCGTCCGTCGCGCGTCCGAGCGGCGCAAAGGCTTTCTTCCTTCTCCATCCATCCTCGCTCCTTTATCCACCTCCACCCATCCAGCGCCTCCGTCTTTCGTCCCCACCACGCCCATTGCCCCTCGCATCTACACAGCAGCCCCTTCCATTTCATCGGTAGCCAGCTGCTGTTGCGAAACAACAACAACATGCCGCCACCACCGCCGCAGCAGCACCAGCAACGCTCTCCACCCGGTGCCTCGCCTGGATACCCCGGCCCACCTCATCGCTCCTATCCAGTCTCGCCATCCGCCGCCGGTGCTGCCAACCATCCTCTACCGCCTCTCCGCCCACCTTCCCGCACCTCTTCAGCCATGGACGACCCGTCTCGTGACCGCTGGCGCCCGTCCGCCCCCGCTCCATCGACACGCTCCGACGTCATGAACATGAACTCCATCCTCGGTCATGGCGGCCCGCCCGAGGCCAGCGACCCCAGGCACATGATGTACGACCGCGAGCGAGATCGAGAACGTGACTACGAGTGGGAGCGCGAGAGGGAACGAGAACGAGAGCGAGAGTGGGAGCGCGACCGTGACCGCGACCGCGAACGAGCGCGTCCAGGCATGTACTCGGCTCCTCCGCCTCGCGGCGTCGCGCCACCCACACATCCTAGCGACCGGCGATCTCCGGTCATGCCGTTTGGCAACGTCGCGACCAGCCCATCCTCGCAATCAGCCCCACCGCAGCGCAAGTACTCGAATCCCGAGGATCTTCCTCCGGCCTCGGCCTACCACCGCGAGCGCGAGTGGGAACGCGAAAGAGAGTACGAGATGGAAAGGGAACGCGAAATGCGCTGGAGAGCCTCTCAAAGACCCGGCGGATCGCTCGACATGCCCCCTTCACAGCATGGCCGCGCGCCTAGCGGCGATATGCGCTATGCCGGACCTCCCGGCATGCCTGGCGAGCCGTCTCGAAGCCCTCGCGAACCCTATCCCTCTTCGCTTCCGCCTCGTAGGAGTCCAGCGCCGAGCCACGCCAGCCGTGCGCCTTCTGTCGGCGGCCGTGTCCGTGAACCGAGCGCAGACCTTCCACTTGCCGCCATGGGACCCGAAAGCTCGCCCCGCCACGCGCCTTACCGCGCAGGATACGACGATCCCAGATCCGGTCCCATCCCTCCTCCGCCTCACGCCGGCGGCATGCTGCCACCCGCAGGTCGCTCACCAGAGCGCATGCGAGCTCCGCTCTCGTACGCACCCTACGACCCGGCTTTGTCCGAACGCGAGTTGATGCAGCGCGAGCGCGACCGTGAGCGAGACCGTGACCGTGACCGTGACCGCGATCTCATCCCCGCAGATCGATACGGTCGTCGCCTTCACGGCGAACCGATCATGCTCGACGAGCCCATGTACGATCGCTACGGCTCCCGAGGCCCTCCCTCCGGTCCGCTGGGCCCGCCCTCGTCTAGATCGGCAGGCGGTCGCGCCTACGACGATCGTGGGCCCGCACCGCCGCTGCCTTATCCGCCGCCTAGCCCTACCCAGAGCCGCGACGGAGACCGACGCAAGGACAAGCCAAAGTCAGCCTCATCCCATTCGGGAGCAGGCCCCACTGCCTCGCGCGAATCGTCCGTGCCTGCATCGACACGGCCTGCGGGTTACGGCGCGCGCATTGACGAACGCGGTGGCAACGGTCCCATTCCGCCCCATTTCGAGC